CTTCTGAAATCACAAGGACAGACAACCGCCACTGACGCATTCTGTAAAGGTGCTCGCCCTACTTGTATTGTGACATCGCGAGGACAGACAACCGCCACTGACGCATTCTGTAAAGGTGCTCGCCCTACTTGTATTGTGACATCGCGAGGACAGACAACCGCCACTGACGCATTCTGTAAAGGTGCTCGCTGTACTTGTATTGTGACATCGCAAGGATAGACAACCGACGCATTCTGTAGGTGCTCGCCGTACTTGTATTGTGACATCGCGAGGACAGGCAACCGCCACCGACGCATTCTGTGAAGGTGCTCGCCATACTTGTATTGTGACATCGCAAGGACAGACAAATGCCACCGACGCATTCTGTAAAAGGTGCTCGCCATACTTGTATTGTGACATCGCGAGGACAGGCAACCGCTACCGACGCATTCTGTAGGTGCTCGTCATACTTGTATTGTGACATCGCGCGGACAGACAACCGCCACCGACGCATTCTGTGAAGGTGCTCGCCATACTTGTATTGTGACATCGCAAGGACAGACAAATGCCACCGACGCATTCTGTAAAAGGTGCTCGCCATACTTGTATTGTGACATCGCTAGGACAGACAACCACCACCGACGCATTCTGTAGGTGCTCGCCGTACTTGTATTGTGACATCGCAAGGACAGACATCTGCCACCGACGCATTCTGTGAAGGTGCTCGCCGTACTTGTATTGTGACATCGTGAGGACAAACCCCCACCGACGCATTCTGTAAAGGTGCTCGCCATACTTTTATTGTGACATCGCGAGGACAGACAACCGCCACCGACACATTCTGTAAAGGTGCTCGCCATACTTTTGTGACATCGCGAGGACAGACAACCGCCACCGACGCATTCTGTGAAGGTGCTCGCCATACTTGTATTGTGACATTGCGAGGACAGACAACCGCCACCGACGCATTCTGTAAAGGTGCTCGCCATACTTTTATTGTGACATTGCGAGGACAGACAACCGCCACCGACGCATTCTGTGAAGGTGCTCGCTGTACTTGTATTGTGACATCGCGAGGACAGACAACCGCCACCGACGCATTCTGTAAAGGTGCTCGCCATACTTGTATTGTGACATCGCGAGGACAGACAACCGCCACCGACGCATTCTGTGAAGGTGCTCGCCATACTTGTATTGTGACATCGCGCGGACAGACAAACGCTGTCACCTAGTCTAGCTTTATGAGCATGTTCCATATGATCCTGGGGTAACATGAAGCATATGATATCCGATTTTTAACATTTTCCCTCCATGACATGTTTTTCTTTTTTTTATTGTTTCTCTTAAAGATTCTCAGTCTGCCAGGTATGACGCCCTTAAAACGTGCGAAAGATTCCGAAACATAAAGCCTCCCAACTGGAACAAACTGGCGGACTGCACGGAATTAAAGGACAGCGTGACGCAAGGACTCCGCCAGAAAGCAGAGGAGACCTCCCGCATCCGGGTAACGCCAGACACCCCATCACACACGCACACACGCACGCGTGTGAATAATGAATGCGGAATAAATGGTAACACAATGTCTTCTATTAGGACGATGTGACGCTGGCGCTGGGAGACGTGAAGAACATGATTCAGAGGCAGCAGAGGATGTACGAGGAGCTGGAGGGCAGTTATCAGCTGCAGCTGGTATGTGTGACGCAGATCTGTGTGTTCCCGGGGTCAAAGCTCCGCCCACTCCAGGGGTCATTATAGACTCATCCAGAACACTGGCGGGAGCATGCACAGAATAATAGGGCACAGGGGGGGCTGCATATGGTGTGAACGGGCCCTTAGCCCTGCTTGCCCTAAGGCTGGGTTCACACCTGAGCATATCAAAAATGCGCGTTTGTCACACGTTTCGTGATGCACGTTTTTACAGCGATTCGCGGTAAAAAAACGCGCAAGAAATGTGCTTTTCCAAGGGCTGCTTGGCTGTATCCCAATGGAAACGCGCGACAAAAACGCCCCAAAGAAGCTCCTGTACTTCTTTGGGTGTAGGACGTTTTGTAGCGCGTTCAGACGGCCTGAAATACACCCAGGTGTGAACCATACCCATAGGAAATAATGAGATTTCGGTGTTTGAGCGTTTTGCAGAGCGTACGAACGCGCTACAAAACGCCCAGGTGTGAACAGGGCCTTAATGTAAAAGACTGCAGGCCCATCCTCGCCCCCCGCCGTCTCTCTCCAAAGATCAACTGTATTGGAAGTGACAAGTTCAATAAAGAGAACCTGGACCTGTCACCTCCAAATGCTATCAGACATGGGCTTGTTAGCTCCTGTGTGATAGCAATGAAGTTTAGTGGGGAAAAAAAATTGATAGAAAAATAATTAAATAAGTGAAAATCAAAGCAAGTAAAAAGTAATAAGAAATAATAATTCAAATTAAAAATTAAAAGGTGATTAAAGTAAAAAATTATAATATTAAATAAGTAAAAAATAATAAGATACAAAAATTTAAAAAAGTAAAAAAATTAAAACTAACCCTGCCTCCCACCCGCCATCTGGTTGCCATTCTCCATTGGTGGGGTTGGCGAGGACGGGGGCACATTGAGGAACCTGGCAGCAGAGAGGGTAAATCCGGCCCTGACCATATCCATCTAGAAGATTGTAAACTTACTTATTGAAGATGCCCATAGGATGGAGTTCCTCAAAGCACTGACACGTTTTCACGAGCCCTGTGAATATGCACTTCCTGGTGTCACCACTCTCGCAGAGCCTGATTTCTGAACTACAACTCAAGTGGTGGAGGAAGGGGGATATAGAAGAACGCCGGGGCTGTACATTACATAAGGAGACAATGAGGATTCATCACCTGTACAATGTTACATTTATTTTTCAGGGTCCAGAGTCCAGCTTGGATCTCACTGTAAGAGAACGTCTGGACCGTCCGCTGGTGAGAATCCTGCAGAGACACCCAGGAACCCAACTCCCCGAGAGCACCCTAATCTGCCAGGTAAATGTCAGCCATGTGCATGCACCCAGCCAAACGTGGACTTTAAAGAAAACATTGGTTACTAAGTGATCACTAAAGGGATGGGTCAGGTGATCATTAAAGGGATGGGTCAGGTGATCATTAAAGGGATGGGTCAGGTGATCATTAAAGGGATGGGTCAGGTGATCACTAAAGGGATGGGTCAGGTGATCACTAAAGGGATGG